CACGGGTATTGGACGAAATGCAAAATGTGTTCAAACACGAGCGAAATGTGACACATGAGAGGGGACTCTTCTATGGAAAAAAGCAGAGGGAAAATGAAACGTTTGAGAATTTCCACGCAGAATTAAGCGCTTTTGCGGGCAGGTGTGATTTTGCTAACGCGGCCGAAAATGTTGATGTTATTTTTATTATGAACATGCGGGAATCTGACTGCCAAAGAGAATTATCACGATCAACAAAGTTACCAGAGGAGGTTTATAGGATCGCACTGTCCTATGAGAGAGGTGAACATATAAATCCTACACCGGAAAACCGGCCTCGTCCGCGCCGCGGATAACCATCAAACAGGAGCCAGTTAATAATATCATAAGGGGACTGGGGTTTTTCAGAGGTCGAGCACGCGGGGGACCCGAAGGATATACCCAAGGATCAAGCAGTGGGGCGACGGAAATAACCGTAGGTGTTATAATTGTGACGCGCCGAATTTTACTCTCGATCATATTGCGAGTTGTCCTGCAAAAGGAGCAACGTGTAATGCGTGTCAAAAATTGGGCCATTTTGAACACACACGGAGTTATAAGAGGTACTAACCAGTGGAGAGGACGAGGACAAGTGGGACTGGTGAGGGATGAATATGAGCATCACCAGAGCATGCATAGTGTCGACAATGTGTCGGAAGATCAAGTGGCATGGGTGAATCAGCAGGGAAACGGGGAGAATGAATCCATGACGTCAGGATCCGATGACTACATGGTGATGTCGATCAAGAAAAAGAACGTGATGGAACTGAAGATCCCAGGAGCCAGAGTGGATCTCCAGCGACGATTTTCAGCATGATGGACATGAAAGCAACATTAGGTAAAAATAATATTCAGTTACAATCATCTCAAGATGAGTTCTTGGACTACAATAACAACCGAATACACATACTTGGAAAAGTAGCGGTGACGATGGCGTTGAACGGCTGGGCAGCTCCAGCGCAAGTGTCAGTAATATCAGGAAATCATCAGTCAATCCTTGGGCGCAATCTGAGGGGTATCCTAGGCCTGGAGTTGGTGCAAAGAAAGAAAGTGATGGGAATCACGGGGAAGAGAGCAGTCAGGAAGAGGAGGAATATGATGAATTACAAACTTATTTCTGTAAGTTGTACCCAATTTTATTTACCAGAATAGGGAAAATCCGAAACGCTAAAGTAAGAGCCGAATTCTTTGAAAATCCAAAGCCGATACAACAAAAAGGGCGCCGGGTGCCTATCAGTCCACAGGATAAGGTAGAAAAGGAAATTGATCGGTTGATAAGAGAAGGTCGTATCATCAAATTACAAGAATGTTCGGACAAGTAATTTGTCTCTCCTATAGTAGTCACAGTGAAAAAGATGGAAGTATAAAATTGGCATTAAAATCAAAAGAACAAGCAGGTACACAAGATTAAGTACCAAATGCCAAATATTGACGAACTAGTAGACGGGATAAGTCAAATAATTGCAGAACGAAAAGCGAGGGATGTATACTTTACAACTTTGGATTTCACCTACGCGTACGGACTATTTTCCTTGGAACAGAAGACTAACGTGCAATGCCATTTTTCACTAGTCGGCGGAAAATCGACGGGAACATATCGCTTTAAAAACGGTTTTTACGGGCTCCCATCAATGCCGGCGGAGTTTCAAAAATTCATTGATAATTATCCCAATTGCGTCCAAGGAAACAAAAGTAGAGCATATTGCATTAGTGGAAAAAATATTGAAGAAGTTGAACGTCTCAAACGTTTCTTTGAAACTAAGGAAATGCGAATTTGCAAAAACCGAGTGTGAATGGCTAGGGTTTTGAATTGGTGAAAGTGGTATTGCGCCATTAGTCCGGAAAACTCAAGCGGTAGAAGATTTGAAAAGCCCAAAATCTAGAAAGAAATTAAATGGGTTCGATGCACATTTTGCATAAATTTTTGCCAAAACTCGCTGAAGTGAGCGCACCATTAAGACCATTACTCAGTCAGAACAACGATTTTGTCTGGACGCCGAATTGCGAGAACGCGTTTCCGCGTTTCAACAATTGAAATCGCTAGTGCCAAACATTGTAGACCTTAGACTTTTCGATATTCACCGTGAAACTAGGATTATTTGTGATGCTAGTCATGATGGCCTAACGGCCGTGTTAGAACAGTTTAGCGCCTCCGGTTGGCACCCAATTTCGTTTGCGTCACGGTATCTTAATCCGGCCGAGAAAAACTATTCTACAAACGCGTTAGAATTACTCGCGGTAGTGTGGGCTACGGAACATTTTCAAAACTATATCTATGGACGTTATTTTACAGTTCCCCAAAAGGAAATAAAACATTTTTTAGTCGGTTAACTCGATGGTACGATCGTTTAGTCCAGTATGATTCCATAATTGAACATAGAGAAGACAAAAGTTGTATCCAAAGAGAAAAGTCGTAACCAATGAAATTGAAAGAAAAGCTGAATATGCAAATATTAAACGTGTGCACACGCGCTCACTAGAGGGCGTGGTTACATGCAACCGACGGTTAGCCCATCAGAATTGAGATATTTTCATACGGGCGGAAAAATGCAATTTCTGAAGCAACAAAATCAGACGTTGTTCTCAGTACGTAAAATCAAGTTGTGATCTTAAAGAAAAAATTACGAAAAATATGTCATCGATGAATTCACCCGAGAAAAGCGATCCGAAAACACTTTTTGCTATTGTTATTACCTCCACTCATTCTGGAAATGTAAATCTCAATATAGTTTTAAATCCATTAAACCAGACGCCGAGTTTAAGTTCTGATTCTGATATAGAAGTAATACCGCCAGATTAAGTTATTCCGAAAACGACTGACTCGAAGAAGCTAAACACCGTTGTTTTATTCCCCCATCAGTTCCCCGGATTATCCTATCCCCTTCTGCAAAGTGATGAATGGATTTATTCAATAGTGCCTACTGATAGTCGAGTAATTAAGAAAATTGATTATCTTGAGATTCTAAATTTGAAATTAGTCGAAGGAAACTTGGAAAAGGACCCGATATTAAAATTGATCCGCGACGCGATCCGAGACAAGGACCCACGGGCCAAGGACATCATTACTAGATTGGGGCAAAATTACGCTCAACATTTTAACGATTTTGCTGTGCGCGAAAGCAGCTTGTGGATGGATGGCCGGCTGCAGTGTTAAACCGATTGCATCACAACCACAACGGGTGGGATAAAGTTTTTGCGGCGGCGAAGGACGTCTGGATGCCGCTCATGCATAGGAACCTTACGGCCACAGCCAAATATTGTAAAAGCTGCCTAGAAGCAGGTAAAAATCTTAAACCGGACACACCAAAAAATGATATGGGGGACACCTATGTATCCATAATTGAACATAGAGAAGACAAAAGTTGTATCCAAAGAGAAAGTTGTATCCAAAGAGAAAAGTCGTAACCAATGAAATTGAAAGAAAAGCAGAATATGCAAATATTAAACGTGAGCTTACGCGCTCACTAGAGGGCGTGGTTACATGCAACCGACGGTTAGCCAATCAGAATTGAGATATTTTCATACCGGCGGAAAAATGCAATTTCCGAAGCAAGAAAATCAGACGTTGTTCTCAGTACGTAAAATCAAGTTGTGATCTTAAAGAAAAAATTACGAAAAATATGTCATCGATGAATTCACCCAAGAAAAGCGATCCGAAAACACTTTTTGCTATTGTTATTACCTCCACTCATTCTGGAAATGTAAATCTCAATATAGTTTTAAATCCATTAAACCAGCCGCCGAGTTTAAGTTCTGATTCTGATATAGAAGTAATACCGCCAGATTAAGTTATTCCGAAAACGACTGACTCGAAGAAGCTAAACACCGTTGTTTTATTCCCCCATCAGTTCCCCGGATTATCCTATCCCCTTCTGCAAAGTGATGAATGGATTTATTCAATAGTGCCTACTGATAGTCGAGTAATTAAGAAAATTGATTATCTTGAGATTCTAAATTTGAAATTAGTCGAAGGAAACTTGGAAAAGGACCCGATATTAAAATTGATCCGCGACGCGATCCGAGACAAGGACCCACGGGCCAAGGACATCAATACTAGATTGGGGCAAAATTACGCTCAACATTTTAACGATTTTGCTGTGCGCGAAAACAGCTTGTGGATGGATGGCCGGCTGCAGTGTTAATACGATTGCATCACAACCACCACGGGCGGGATAAAATTTTTGCGGCGGCGAAGGACGTCTGGATACCGCTCATGCATAGGAACCTTACGACCACAGCCAAATATTGTAAAAGCTGCCTAGAAGCAGGTAAAAATTTTAAACCGGACATACCAAAAAATGATATGGGGGACACCTATGTATCCAGGGAACCTAATGATTTGATTCAATTAGATTTCTGGGGTCCGGTAAATTTTTGTACGGGGTCGGAGGAAATATGTTCTAGTAGCAGTAGATACGTTTTCGCATTGGCCGTCGGCTTATGTTTGTTCCAGTAATAAGTCTGAAAATGTATTAAAATTCCAAAGGAAGTACATAAATACACATGGGCACCCAAGGAAATTACATATGGACCAGGCAACTGGGTTCTTCTCGAATGAGATACAAAAGTTCTGTAATTATGAGGGCATTAATCTAATAAAATCTCCGGTTAAGGACCACCGTGCTACGGGAATGGTCGAAAGGACAATTGGCTCGATAAAAAACTACGTTTTAACATATCTCCAAGAAAATAAGAACTATAAGTTTGGATTGATGACATCCCGGGCCCTGAGCACTTTACGATTTGTGCGCATTCTAGGATTAAGCTAACGCCATTTGAGGCCTATCATGGAAGAGAAGCAAATACGGCCCTTCGAAATTTGACGAAAAAGCCATCATTGAAAAATGTAAATTGGAAAAAAGTCAAAAACCAGAAATTATCTTGTTTAGACAAGGCGAGTGGTCTACCCGATGTGGATTTAAATCTCGATTGGGAGAAACGTAGCAATCTTGTGTACGCCACGGAAAAACCGTAAAACCCCAATGGTTTTGGATGAGAACGACCTGATCGAAACAGAAGTGGACCCTAAGGTCATAGAGATGGTGGATCCCAAGGCACGAGAGTTGCCTAAGGCACCAGAGTGGTTAATACGACACAAAACCAGTACCACGACGGTATATCACAAGACCGGGAAAACGGACCCAAAGAACCCAAGAAGGTATAAACGTTTACCATTAAAAATTGAAAAATTGCCAAAACACACGGTGCAAATGAAAAAAGGATCGTTACTAAGGCGAAGTGGTGTTTCATTTAGATCGGCGGCTGAAGAAAACCCAATTGAGAAGGGGACCGACGCTAACCCCCCGGGACCAAGCAAGCCTACGAAGCATAAGAGGCAAGCGGAAAAGGACCAATTAGAAATGGAACGAGCGCGAAAAACGAAGAAAAATTGTATAGCTGAGTACAGCGAAGACGAAGAAACGGAACGAGCGCGAAAAACGAAGAAAAATCGAATAGTCGAGTACAGTGAAGACGAAAGCGACGAAGATGAGGAGAGCGAATGGACAGTCGTGGGGCGCGCAGGCGAAGCCGAGAAAACTGCAGCGTGCGGAGCGAACGAACCGTCGGGAACGGATAAAAACAGACACCGAAAACCGTCGGTAATAAAAGGAAGCTAGGTGAGGAGGCAACGCGCAGATCGACGCGACAACGGAGAGGAGTCGACAAAATGGGTGGAGTGATGATTCACCGGATCGAACACAAATGAGAGAAAAAACCTTAGGGAGAGGTTTGGCAAGCATTCCTGAAAACTCAAGTTGAAACTAAAACTGTTCATTAAAACTTGGCGACATTTTTGAGTTGATAAATTTCACATCTACGATCTCAAATTTATTTGTGGTTGCCCGAATGAGATAGGGACCAGTTTGAGTTTATGTAAATTATATGAGTTTGTTTCTTTCTGTCTGGGGACCTGCTGTCGTGGCCTTGCGATCTCTATCGTCCGGCACGAGCTAAAACAGAAAGCTGCAGTAAGATTTAGGTTTGATGCCTTACAGTTGCTTTACAATTACAGTTACACAACTATTCTTTCTCTACTATACATTACACTACTTCAACACCTTCTTTGTCATACCATTCTCATGTCAAATTTAGACTTGGCCCAGTAAGCTACAAAGAAAAGCACTCATTTTGAATTCATTTTGGTAGTAGATGATTACTTGGGCAAGTGATACTTAATCATTTGCAGAATTATCATTGGAGCTTTACAATTAAGCCCGAACAAATTGGTTTTACGATGAGCTCCTTATAGGGAAGGGGTATGGGAGCGTCCTGGCAAACAGCCGAGGAGCGTCATTTAGTTGCTTCCAGGAACGAAGTTTGCGATACATATTCATTATATTCATAATTCCCATGGACAATTCTTTAATTATTCCGAACAAAACATCCATGAACTCGGCTGAAGAGCTCGACTCATGACAAGACCATAATAGTCGAACGACGCCTGTTTTTTTGTCCCTATCCTGTGATGGTTGAACTTCAGTCAAATAAATCATGAGAGGAACAGTGTCGAACCATGGGTCACACAGGCTTAATTTAGGGTCCAACACGGACAAGTTATGGTTCGGACAGGGTTGAATTTTGGGTGGAGCAGGTTCGACTCATGGGTCGAGCGGGGTCGAAATATGGGTCGAAGAGGGTGAAAAAATGGGTCAAACAGAGCAAAAACATGGGCGAAACAGAGTCGAATCATGGGTTATTGACGCTCGAGTTATACCCACATCCAGTTTCAAGCGTTAATAATGTATCATAAAAAGATTTTAGTACCAGTCTTAATAAAATTGAGAAATCATCTATCATAATCAATTATTAATCGATTAAAATCTATATTTTGAAAATAAAACAAAGAATTATAATACATTTCAATTGATCATAATCAATAACAAATCCAAATTTTTTCAAACAATTATTATCAATTATAATCGATTGTTTTTATTCTAGTTTCGAATTTAATTGTTTTGCACAAAAAAATTTTATTTGCCCATTTTGACCCCCACCTTGTACCTGAATTCCTTTTTTTATACTTCTTCTCAATTGAAAATGCTTCTTGATGCACGATTTAAATTTTTAAAGCGACAAAATATCAGCACATTATTTTAGTATGGTAAAATATTGTGCTCAGATTAACCAAAGTGTTATATAACATCCCACTTTTTAGAGAATTGGTTATTGACAGAAAATTAACAGTTCATAATATAACTGAAATATACTTTTGGTGTGACAAAGTTTTGTCAACGCAAGAAATTATAATCGATTACAATTGACTTAAAGAGTTTTTCTGTCTGAATATAATCAGTTACAATGGATTCTATTCTAATCTCTTGGGAAATATCACAATTATATTCGATAATGAAATATATAAACGACTATTTGTCGTATTTATAATCAATTATCTTTTTCAAAAAACCAACTTATTAATCCGTTATAATCGATTACTTAAACCTAAAGTTGGATGCGGGTCGAACAGGGTTGAGTCATATGTCAAACAGGATTGATTCTTTGGTCGAATACGTACAAATCATCAGAAGAACAGGGTCGAACAATGGGTTCAACTCGTTCAAATCTTGAGTCAAACAGGGTCTAATCATGATTGGAAGAGACTCGAATCATGGGTCTTACAGGGTCGAATCACGAGCCGAACACGTGTACAAATCATGGGTCAAACAGGATGGAAACATGGGTCGAACAGAGTCGACTCAACAGTTGAACGGGGTCGAATCATTGGTCCAAAAGATTTGAGTCATAAATCGAACCGAGTCGAGGGCCGAATAGAGTCGAATAATGGGTAGAAATGAAATTTTAGTCGAATCCGTGCGTGCAAACCTGTAAAATAGATGCAAATAGTAGATTGATCCAGTTCTGAAGTGTTTTAATCCTCTTCTGCGCATTTTTGCCATAAGTCATCAAACCATTTCGATTGCGTTCGAGTCATTTCTACGCTTCATACGTTCAAAAGTTGAACAAAACTGCTTAATTTTATGGAAAATGATTCACTATAGTTAATATGACAGGAATACAATTGCTTCTTATGACATACGTGTTCTGAAACGACATCCAGAAAATCTCAAAACAAAAACAAAATCTCAAGGTATTTTGTTTTGTTTCTACTCACGTTTGGCTGTGAGTTCTCTGGCAGCATTTTGAGACTTTTAGAGATGCTACTTTTGGTGAATTGAGACTTTTTTTGAGACTTTTAGTGAACTTTATGAATTGTAAGCGGATTTCGCATTAGTTTGGCCTTGTAATGAAGTTGAAACGATAGAAAAGACTGTTTCAAATCCAGTGGTTAAATCGGCTATCTATTTTCAATATTTTGAAAGTTATAGCAGTTTTAGCATGAAAATAGGAAAACTTGAGAAAAGACGAGCAGAAAAATGGTCAAGTTGATCAGAGGGTCAATATGCATTCAACATGATCAGCATGTTTGATGATCTTCTACAGCACCGAGTAATGAGCGTATAATCTTCTCTGAAATACTAACAACTCGTATTCTGCTTTAGGCCATTTGGTGAAGGTATTGAGCTGTGGGTGGGCCAAGGACTCGAAACACCTGGTGAGTGCGGGGAGGGATGGGAAGTTGATGGTGTGGGACACCTACTCGGACCACAGAGTCCACTCCATCCCCCTTAAGAGCAACTGGATCATGTCCTGCTGCTTCTCACAGAAAAGCGCCAGATTCGTCGCCAGCGGAGGTAAGTTGATACTTTTTACGCTGAAAATTGACCCTCGTTTCGTTTCAAAGCATCTGGCCTCAAACCAATTATATACACGGGGTACCCGACACTTAAGATAAACCGGGTTGACCATTCCGCAAAAAATTTCTCTGTCTTAGAACTTTTTATAAGACTTGTAGGTAAGAAAAACATAAATCGCAGACCTCGACCTGGGTCGCAAGGACAAAACAAATCTTGATGACTGGCTGAGAAGCTGATGCAACATTAGTCACATCAATTGCCGTAATTCCGATCATTGAAAATGAGAAGCAACTTTGTATTCGGGTAGGTTTTAGTTTTTTTTGTTTTCCACGCAAAACCAGGTACCACAAATAATAATCGGAATGGATTGAGTGATGACCATATTAAAACCCTTTCAGCCGTGGTTCGAACGAGATATAAAAAGTATCAAAAAATGACCCAGCGTCAAAAAACACCGGTTTGAAGCATTTGAGTTATAATTTATCTCCGAACGAGTAAAGTGACCGAGTAACAATAGCTATATATGAAAATTTATCACTTAGCTTTAAAAAAACGTAAGCTCGGTTTGGAAGCTTGACTTAGAGCTTTCTTGGCAATGAAAGCTTCCGAATTTTTTTTAATTGATTTTTTTTGTGAATTTTTTTTTCTAATGTGTTGTTTGTTTAAGAGTCGATGAACGTAGTTCAGACTCTTATGTAGACCGCGATGTTTTTTTATCGTTTTTTTTCAGGAACACTCTTAAAATTGTACAGGTCCTGCAAAGCGTGATCAATTTCTAGTTTCTAAAATGGAATTTAATATTTAGATTTTTCAGCGAAATAAAATTTTTTCTTTTTGATCCATTTTTTATCAAATTGGGTTATTTTCATCAAAAACGTTTTTTTTTTTGTAATTTTTTTCTACGAATGTGATCGGAACAATTTGTGCTACTTGCACACTAACCGGCTATCCTTGTTAAGATGTATAAATGGTTTCAAATTTTTTTGTACCATTTTTGATAATTTTGTTTTAGGAATGGACAATGTATGTACAGTCTATGCTCTGCATGCTAGAAAAGACAACGTGTACACTTCGCAGGAGTTCAGCGAGCACACTGCCTTCGTGTCCTGCTGCAGATTCATAGACGACACTGACGTCATCACTGCCTCGGGGGACAGAACTGTCATGTTGTGGGATGTGTCCACCGGTATGATGTCTCTCACTGTATTGTTGTATTATCATAGACGGCAAGGGATCTACTAAACAATCGCCCTCTCTATGGTTTCTAATAAAAAATTACCACCCCTTTAAATAAATCAGTAAATTACCACTAGAGCTTTCTATGTAAAATTCGATTTTTGCTGCATTCTGATTGGTTGAAAATTCATTTAACTTAACCTAATTATCAATTGCCCCCCTTTCTTGAAGGGGGGGGGGGGGGGGGTGGATAAATGTTAAGTAGATCAACGGCAAGAAAAGGCGTTTTTCCAGTTATACGGTTCAAAGTTGCCAAATTGTTCGTTGAGCTGTTAATAATTGTTTATAAATTTAAATAATTAGATTCGAGAATTAAGATGCATTGTTCAAAATAACAAAAGATCAGTTTTGGGCCGTATAACAGAAAAGACCAGGGGCGGATCTAAAATTTTCTCGAGGAGAGGGGGATTTCTACGCCACAGGCAAAATTTCGAAAAAAAAGGCCAAAAAAGGCGTTGCTAGGCACTTTTTGAAAAATTTTGACCAAAAAATCGCGTTTTTTTGGTGCGCGGGCGCCTTTAGAAAAGTTTTAGGGTCTGTAACCAGAAATGAATATCTCAAAATAGTTCAAAGAGGTAACCCTTTGGATCGGCAGGGGGTCGAATCCCTGAAGAAAAAACGTCCCCCCCCCCCCCCCCCCCCATAAATCCGCACCTGGAAAAGACCCATGAAAAGTACCGTGAAGCTGTGGAAGGTGTCTACGGGTGCATGCCATTATGTTTTTGTATTGAACAAGAATTTTTGTATAAGGGGAATCACGCTTGTCCTGACAAACCCACTAGGCATTGTCAAACAGTTTGTGAAATAAATAGCTGAGATCAAGCTGATTTAGTTCATCCACTTCTTCGTCCAACTCTTTTTTCTCCCAAACCACCCCCCACCCAGCCCCACCACACACAAGCATCATTCTTATGGTGTAACGAGTCGTTTTACAAGGTTAATCATGAAGACCAAATATGTTTGTCATAGCCTAATTATTCCGTATGTCAATTTTCATAACGATCAAAAAATGTGAACAAAACTTTTACCCGTAAAAACTTGCAGATTAGCGGGGGGGGGGGGGGGGGGTTGTTGCGCAAAAGAAAAAGAGCGTACTCAACTCAGAGTCAAAACATACCCGATTTCCCTCGAGAGTTGTAGGTGCCAATAAATTTACAATAATTTTAGGTGCTTGGAAGAATACTCTTGTTTAGTGAACCAACCAGAGACCTAACCCGGAGGTTCATTATTTAAGGTTAACTAGTTATGGCTATCTTATTAGAGATCACCTTTTAAAATGCAACTCATGTGCAGCTTAAGCCCGCAATCATTTGATTACTTGGCACCATCACTACCGATACGCCACAATGCGATTCGGGTACTCATGTCATCGGAAAAACTTACGTATTTGCAACTGAATTTAGAAAATGTTAGGTGCAACTTGGTCAGGTAGTAAATATTTGCGTCCAAATGATTGACTGGTTTCAATTAGAGTGAGTTTGAGCGCAGTGTAACTCGCCCCCTATGCTCTTTGAAAAAAACAATAAACCCATTTGGCTTAATTTCGAAGCCTCGAATTTCGGGATACTTTTTGAACTAATGATCCAAACTGAGATTGAAATTTTTCCTTAGTTTTGAACAAAACTTCGAACTTTTTGGCGGTGCAAAACAAATTGTACAGCAAAAACGACAACAACTTGACATTCGGTTACTTCCTCTCTATCTAAGCACCGAAAAAAAACTTTAAACAATTTGAAAATGTCTCGACCAAGCTGCGAGCCAAACTCTACCATAATCGACCGAGTTTCGTTGGCTTTGATTTTGTGCTCAAATTGAGCCCTTTCCCGATTGTAAGCTTTTTCAGACAAACATTTTCCCGGATTAAACAGGAACAAAACATTTTTGGACAAAACATTAAATTACCAATGTCTGACTTTCTTGTACAGTTTATTGGAAGAAACAAACCCCGCTTGATTTTCTCGACAACCCGCTTAGATTTCTTTTGATCATCTAGATGCCATTTAGATGTGTTTAGATTTTCAACTAGTATCAGCGAATTGACATTGAAGCTTTGGATTAACATTCCAGATTTTATCATTTAAAATTTTTCGTGATTAGTGCAAAAATTTGTGCTACCTTGAATTGCATCTAACTATAACAAAAAATATTCATTCATGGTTTTTAAAAAATTTAACTTTGATGCAAAACCCGTACGAGAACATAAAAGCATGCCAATTTTTGCTGTTTTTGTTATTTCACTGCTTTATAGTTTCTGCTAGTCTTTAGCACATATTTAGAAAATACTTACTAAGACATTTTGTGCAAGTAATCAGATTTTTTAGCACGCAATAGTCAATAATTTATTTTTTTTTAGAAAAGTCCAGAGCTCCTTTGTAACTCATTATGGATAAAAAAATTTCAAATATTTTTTAGAATTTCGCAAAGTATTTACATGATTTGGAGTTTTTGTGAACTGCTGCTCGCAGTTTGCATAAATTTTGGACGATGAAGCTTTTCGAATGTAGTTTACAAGAAGACAATCTCTTTTTACGTGCCGGTGAACGTTGAGCAAACTCTTATACAAGTCGTGATGATTTTTTTATCTTAAATTTTAGTAAAATTGTAGCTTTAGTTATATTTTTTGCGGCTTGAATGTTTTAAAATCATTTCAATTCCTTTGTTGAAAGGAAGGAAAATTGCACTATCGAACAGCAAGATGAGTTAGATCCTTTGTGGTTAACTCATAGAGTAATTTCGGATAGGGTACACCGTCTGCTCGTCACGCTATCTTATTTTCGGCCGGATAGATTCGTGCAACTTCTTAGTCTAATACCGATCCTAATCTTACTCTTATACTTTCTAGTCTCAGGGTGTTTAACTAGTCTCTGCTAGGCTCAATAGATCTAGGGTATACTGGTTTGTTGCGGCTGCTGAAGTTCTCTTGGAGAGGCAACTAATTTCTAAGTTAAATTCAAATCTCTCTGGTGCTGAAATTACAAGTAATTTCAGCACTTACAAATAAGTGGGTTGTTAGTTAGATGGATCATGATTGGTTAATATTAAATACTTTACAGTGGTAAAATATCTAATTTATCCAATCATAAAATATAGTTTAGATCAGGTTCCACCCATCCGGGTTTTACGGAGTTTTTTAGAATTATCTTTCTTCAATTCAAAGGATGGATGATGGACGTTGGTATTTGGCAAACATCGTATTCTTGTCCGGTTTCTCTTGTTAGAGAAGTTCCAGGATGCTGGAGATAGGGACATCAATCGTTGTGTCTTCTTGTGACAACGACGGTGTTTCCCAACGAAATCAATCTGATTTCAGAATGGTTTGCTATGACGGGTTTTTCTGTTTTATGTAGAGAACTTGTTTTGTGTTCGACCTCATCTGGGAATGGCGTGGAGATTGTGCGTGGAGGGGATGCCTTGTAACTCGGATCTGTACGTATACTTGAACATCGAGGTGGTCATTGGTCTAATTCAATGAAGTCCTTTTCTGCGAAGTCAAGTCGTACTCTAAATCCTTTGAGTTGTGATTGTGGACGGCATATTGGTTGTGGTTGGCCATTCTTTTTCGAGTGTAGTGGGATCATTTTGTCTTTGGATGTCCGTCTTTGTTGTTGTATGCTGAACTATATACTGCAAGGTATGATTTACATTTTATAAAAATTCTTATTAGTTCAGTGTTTTAATTATGATTTTGGTTAGTTGTTTTCACAAAAGCTTTTTGTTTTAGTTCGGTTATTTTGAAGAGTTACTCACCCTTGAGTACCTCTTATTAAAAATAGAAGTGTGGTCACAAAGCGTGGATGTAGCGCGGTGGGTTAGGCCGGCTATAGAGCATGCTCAGGACGTTCTCTCTGGTGGGTTAGACCAGGAGTGGGAGTATGATTTCGTGCGGTTTCTGTGAGAGGTCCTGTTATGTGATAACGTTTTATGTTGGGTTTATGGTGGTCTTTCTAATGTTCCGTTGATTGTGTCCTTCTTTTCAAAAATCAAATTGTTTTTGTTATGGGTTTGTCTTTCAACTTTTTTGTGTTTTATTATTTCTTTCTTAGACTTTATAATAGTCTTCAAAAGAATAAATTATCCAGTTTTAAACTGGGTTAATCCGGTTTGGGTACCGTTGGTTTTCTTTTCTTAGTCATGCTGTTATTTTATGGTTTGTGGTGTTTAGCAAGCTGCGTTGGTTAGTTTGTTTTAGTATATAATTCCTTTCCAACCGCGTTAAAGGAAAGTTTGAAACTTGTTATCGTGTGTTAGAGTTGTTGAGTGTGAAAACTTGAAACTGAAATTCATTATTTAAACAATTCTTCGTGGGCGAGCTGTGCGAGTTTGGATAGAATTCCTGTGCGAGTGAATGAAAATATCAAAAGGTTAGTACTGCTTTTTCATTTTATCAATTTACTACATAGAATTTTAATTTTACTGCTAGTTTTGGGGGAAAGTTAAGCTATAAATTTTCATCATTATGAAATTTACTGCTTTTGGAGAAACAATTTATAAATTAATTTACTACATTGGCAGAATTTTATTATATTTATCTAGTGCAAAATATTAATAAAGTTTAGAAGAATTTTAACAAGTTTTATTTTTTATTTTTCTTTTCTGTTTTTTTGCAGATGATCGTGGGATGAAGACTAAAAATCTAAATGAAACATGAGTAAGGAATGGTTAGTGTTAATTTCAATTTATTAGTGAAGAATATGTATAAATTATACTTACCTGTTAGTCGTCGGGGAAAAAACCGTGGGGGAAGATGCCGTGTATCATGTCGGAATTTGTTAGTAATTTTGCTAGTATGCGAATGACGTTTTTAGTTTGAAGCAGTGGCCAAAGCAATTGAAGTGCTTTAATAGTTTTTAGTTCTTCGGTGCCAACTGCAAACTCATAAGTTGTGATTTGAATGAGATTATATATTTTGTGATTGTATTTAGTATTGTGGATGAATTCTAATATAGGGAT